TCTTCTTTCATATCTGAGCAGCAATATGGCAGACTGTGCCCTTCCCCCTCCAAGACATTTCCATAAGCTCCTCCCACATCCACCAGTAAAGCTGTTTGGTCGATGTTTTTGCGAGCTGCCGAGCGCGGCTCAACCTGCCATGACGAACGAGATTATGATTCACTTTTATCACAAGCTGCTCTACTTCTTTCATGTTTTTAAAAAGCGGCGAGTTGCCTTTAATTGCAAATGGCGGTTTTCCCGGCGACGACGATTCCGCCTTTGAACGCGTTTCAAACATCTCAGAAGGCATATTGGATTCTACTTCATTCGCAAACCTAACATGCCAGGATAAGAATCCATATTTTCAAAAAAAAAAAAAAAAAAGTGACAGTTATTTTCAGTCCAATGAGATCTGAAATGTAGTCACATGACTGAGAATAAAAATCCTTTGTGAACGGAAGATAACAACAGAAAGATACTTTGTCGCTCCAAGCGATGTACGGGATACATTCCGCGAAGCGGGTGAGAGAAGCAGATCACAGGGGATTCTGTACAGGAAGAGATAGAAGTGCCCCGTCATTTATCTGCACAATGGCGGCACGGCGGCGATAATGCTTATCACATAATACAAGCGGCAGGGTTGTCGCTCTGCGGCTGAAATCGCATTGTCCGGCCCCTCCCCTTCCATTGGTTTGTTTTTCCCCAAGATGATAAAGGACTGCTGTTATTGCTGCCATCAGAGGGGGATGGCCAAGGACAAATATCTGAGAAGCCTCTGATGGAAGCTGCCATTCCCACACTGCTGAGATGCATACTAGTACCAAAAGCAATGACAACTCCTAACCCCCGGTTCACATCTATGCGGCCGTGCGGGACGAATTTTGCACGGGCATGAGAGCCCATTAATTTGAATGGACTCCCATTCCTGTGACACGCAGGGAAAGAAGTCCCTGCACTTCTTTGAAAAACGCAGCCCGCACGGGAACCTCGGTTCACGGTATGGTTGGGTTTTCCAGTGCCATTACCCTAGGTTCACATATGTGCGGGTGGTGCTGCTGCGGATGCACACAAAAATCCATGCAGCCGCACCACCCAAACAGAGAATTGCGGACCCGCGGGCGGGTGCCATTAATTCAACCCTAGGTTCACATCTGTGCGGATGGTGCTGCTGTGGATCCGCATGAAAATCCATGCAGCCACAACACCTGCACAAAGAATTGCGGGCCCGCGGGCGGGTGCCATTAATTCTAACCCTAGGTTCACATCTGTGCAAGTGGTGCCGCTGCAGATGCGCACAAAAATCCGTGCAGCCACAACACCCGCACAGAGAATTGCAGACCCGCAGGCGGGTGCCATTAGTTGTAACCCAAGGCTCACATCTGTGCGGGTGGTGCTGCTGCGGATCCGCATGAAAATCCATGCAGCCACAACACCCGCACAGAGAATTGCGGACCCGCGGGTAGGTGCCATTAGTTCTAACCCTAGGTTCACATCTGTGTGGGTGGTGCCGCTGCAGATCCGCATGAAAATCCTGCAGCCGCAACACCCGCGCAGAGAATTGCGGACCCGCGGGCAGGTACCATTAGTTCTAACCCTAGGTTCACATCTGTGCGGGTGGTGCCGCTGCGGATCCGCATGAAAATCCGTGCAGCCGCACCACCCGCACAGAGGAATACAGACCCACGGGCGGGTGCCATTAGTTCTAACCCTAGGTTCACATCTGTGTGGGTGGTGCCGCTGCAGATCCGCATGAAAATCCTGCAGCCGCAACACCCGCGCAGAGAATTGCGGACCCGCGGGCAGGTACCATTAGTTCTAACCCTAGGTTCACATCTGTGCGGGTGGTGCCGCTGCGGATCCGCATGAAAATCCGTGCAGCCGCACCACCCGCACAGAGGAATACAGACCCACGGGCGGGTGCCATTAGTTCGAACCCTAGATTCACATCTGTGCGGGTGGTGCCGCTGCAGATCCGCATGAAAATCCGTGCAGCCGCACCACCCACCAGAGAATTGCGGACCCGCGGGCGGGTGTCATTAGTTCTAAAGGCACGCCGCCCGCACTGGAAACTGAAACCGTACTGGGAACCGAGGTTCAGGTGTGGGCTGCGTTTTCCAAAGAAGTGCAGGGACTTCTTCCCTGCGTGTCACGGGCACGGGAGTCCATTCAAATGAACGGGCTCTCGTGCCCATGCAAAACACGGCCCGGACGGCCGCCTTGGTGTCAACCTGGGGTTAGAACTAAAATGGGTCCGCATTTCTCTGTGCAGGTGGTGCAGCCGGCTGCACGGATTTTCAAGCAGATGTGAACGAGGGGTAACTGGTTAAGATTAATAACCAGAAATGCTGCTTCTATCTGAGGCTTTTCACACAGGTACTGCTTTTTGTTTTCCAGTTTTGGTAAAAAAAAAAACAATTGTTAGAAAGCTGCTTTTTGATGATGTACTGTCTTGTAAAAATTATTTTTTATGCAACGCATAGACAAAAAAATAACGATAACAATTCTTTTTTTTTTTTTTTTTTAACCCCTTGCCCTGCAGAGGATTCACCCCCCTCTTCCTGACCAGGCCATGTTTTGCGATACAGCGCTGCGTTACTTTAACTGATGATTGCGCGGTCATGCAACGCTGCACCCAAATGAGATTTACATCCTTTTTTTCCACAAATAGGGATTTCTTTCGGTGGTATTTGATTGCCTGTGCACTTTTTATTTTTTGCGCTATAAACAAAAAAAGACCGACAATTTTGAAAAAAAACCCTTTTTGCTATTAAACATGTTCAGTAAAAAAATTTAAAAAAATCAAATTTCATCATAAATTTAGGCCAAAATATATTCTGCTACATGTCTTTGCTAAACCAAAATCTCAATTTGTGTAAATTAATTGGTTTACGTGAAGTTATAGCGTTTACGAATGGCGGAATTTTTTTTTTCAACTAGTAATGGAGGTGATCAGCGATTTATAGCGGGACTGCGGCAGGCATTCTGACACAGGGGGGAACTGACTTGGTGTCACTGACATCCCCAGTGACACCAATACAGTGATCAGTGCTAATAAAAAGCACTGACACTGTACTAATGGCACTGGGCAGGAAGGGGCTAACAGGCTAACATGAGGGGCGATCAAAGGGTTAACTGTGTGCTGTTTTACTATGTAGTGTAGGGAGAGATCTGTATTGTTTATACACAGGTCTCTCCCCCATTGGAAATCCTCAGAGATCGCTGGGTGCCGGCGGGGAATCACCGTCCAGGACCCAGTGATTAACAGCCGAGGCTGCGAACGGCAGCGCAGGTAGGGCGCGCATGGGCCCCCTACCTGGAAATGCACTATCACATATATATATATATATATATATATGTGATTTTGCGCACCCGTGCCACCCTGCAGCAGTATTTCTGCTAAAGGGCGGCGTGGAAGCGGTTAAAGGTGACAATACCCACTCACGCTCCTGAAGATTTACCCCCCCCCCTTCCTGACCAGGCCATTTTTTGCGTTACGGAGCTGCGTTACTTTAACTGACAATTGCGCGGTCATGCAACACTGCACCCAAATGAAATTTATGTCTTTTTTTCCCACGAATTGAGCTTTCTTTTGGTGGTATTTGATCGCCTGTACACTTTTTTTTTTTTTTGCACTTTAAAAAAAAAAAAATACAGACAATTTGGAGAAAAAAAACAATATTTTGGACTTTTTGCTATTACACATGTCCAGTAAAAAAATAAAAAAAATCAAATTTCATCATAAATTTAGGCCAAAATGTATTCTGCTACAAGTCTTTGCTAAAAAAAAAATCCCAATTTGTGTAAATTAATAGTTTACGTGAAAGTTATAGTGTTTACAAATGGCGGTATAGATACTGGGATTTTTTTTTCTACTATTAATGGAGGCGATCAGCGACTTTTAGCGGGACTGCGGAAGACATTCTGACCTTGGGGGGGAACTAACTTGGTGTCACTGACATCCCCAGTGACACCAATACAATGATCAGTGCTAGAAAAAAGCACTGAGACTCTACTAATGACACTGTTCAGGAAGGGGTTAACATGAGAGGTGATCAAAGGGTTAACTATATGTAGGGAATGTTTTACCAGGGGGCGGGGGGGGGGGGTGGTGTGCTTCACTGTAATCACAATGATCAGGATGGCTGTGCTGTGCAGTGTGCCCAAGCTGACAGGGAGGAAGACTAAACAAAACAGTGTTCCTCCCCATCGGAGATGCTCGGTAATGACTGGGTGCCAGGAGGTAATTACTGGCCGGGGCCCGGTGATTGACAGCTGCGGCTGCGAATGGCGGTGAGGGTAGGGTACGAGCAAACCACCTACCCAAAAATGCAAAATCACGTGTATATATGTGATTTTGCGCACCCGTGCTGCCCTGTAGCAGTATTTCTGCTATAGGGCGGACAGGAAGTGGTTCAAAAATTAACAAACAAAACAATTACAAATTAAAATAGTAAAAACAAAAAATATTCAAACCATATTAGAAAATGGGAATATAAAAATAAAACGGCATGAAAATAATAAAGGGAAAAGGGGAAAAAGGAGGTAAATATGGCTGATTAGCATACATGAGTTAATATAGGGATAAACAGGAACACATTTAATAAAATAATGTCGTCAGGTTGCTTTAACTGATATCATCTGCAGATAAAAGCTCATTCCTTTGATCTGAAGAAGAATGAAAGAGTAGATACAAAAGTAACAATGTTCCATCGGATCAATGTTTACAAACAATGTTACTTTGTATCTCTCTATCTCCTGTCTGAACAATGTTCATCAACAATGCTACTTTGTATCTCTCTAGCTGTGTCAAATGTTTCATTTTTTTGACAGCAGCATCTATAGTTGCCCTATTTATACAGCAACTCCCAGCTGCATTTTGACAACCGGGAATTGCTGACTGGAGGGAGTGGCAGAAGGACATACTACATACTACCCTTGTGCACTTTATTGGGATTTATGGCCATGTGTAGTATGGCCAGTGTCCACAACTGGATACGTTTTCACACACAATTACTCACCCCTCCTCTTGGAATGCCAGTGAATTCTGGGAAAGCTTTGCCAAGTTCTTTGCGTATTCTTCTTCTATCTTTATCCTGCCAATATAAAGGAAAAAGTGCATATAAGAAATTGACGCAAGCAGAAGTGTTTGATGATGAACTGTGTATGTCATTGTGCACAATGGCAGGTGGAATGGGCTTGCTGTGCATTGTGATTTTTAGGGACTGCAATGGGTGCGCCCAACAGTCCTAAAGAGAGGGAACATGTCAAACCCAACTATTCTCAATATGAATGCAGACCAGTCCTTAGCATGCATACAGTGTTACAGTTTGTGCAGAAATGGCAGATATGTCCCAGAAATCTTAACGCTCTTGAGTTACTAAAATCTGCCATATTTAAGAGGTGACTGCATGACTGCAAACAAATTTATGCAATTAAGGTTTTGGGTAGAGATATGCAAAATTGACCATTTTCAGTTTTACCATTTAAAAAATATTTAAGGTGCAATGGACTTTATGAGTTTTTTTTTTATTTTTTGGTATATTCAATCTTTTTTTCTCATTTTTTATTATTCGATTTCTTTTTTTTGCAGAAAGAAAAAGGAAGTAAAAATATAAAGAGGAGCATTTTTTTTTAAAAAAACTTTTTTTTGCTTTGTTGTTGAACGGAAAGTTTTTTTTTTCCCAACGTGTAATTTTTTAAAATGCAAATTTAGAAGAAAGTTAGAGGCTGATATTGCCAAAGCCAAAACTGATAATTTATCGATAACACCAACTGTCAAAATCACTCATCCACATATTTGGGATATTTCATTACTATGGTGTGGGCAGCCAATGGTAGGCAAATGTGTGTTTATTAAGCAGAAGGGAGGAGATGCAAAAAGGCATTGTAGCTGAAAGGCGTGAAAAAGGAGAAGAGTGTGTAAACTGATTCCCCCCCAAAAAATATTCCCTGATAGAATAGGTTGTGTTTTAGGACTTTCAATATTGGGTTTACAACCTAATTTCTCCAGAATTATTGGACATTACATGCTAAATGTTCACGGCCAATCACCACATTAAGTCCCGCCCCAGAGGAGCTCATTTCATGCACATATGCACTTGTCTGATACTGGTCATAAAGTCTCTTTGCTAATTACTTGAAATATGCTAGCAGATCCCCCCCCTGCCCTCCCTCTCAATCCAGTGGATCCTGACACAATCATACAATTGATGTTCTGCAGCTGGCAGCAGAATTTTAATTACCGTTCTCTGATAAATTCAGCCATTTCCTTCTGCATCTGCTTCCCCTTCAGCTGCTTCTGTAGGAGTTCCTCGAACCCAGTGACCATCGTGTTCCCCTGAGGATCCTTCTTGTCTGCCTGTGGAAGAAATGCATCAGGTCAGCGCATGTACCCATTGTGATCAATTAAAAAATATCTGCTCAGTGATGGAACCACAAGTGGGACAATTCACGGGAAGCTCAACACACACAAAAAGTCATCAATCTACTGAGCCGTGCACCAGCTAAAAGCTAAAATCAGACTGGCAGTGGGAAAGTCTGTCCTGTAATTTAATTGTGAGAGAGTCTGACTCTTACTACCAGAGGTAGGTCTTCTTTTTTTTTAAGAAATACATTCAACTTGTATGGGAAATAGAAGGAGATCATTTGATTTTGTCCCATTCACACAAAACGAATGTACCAGCAGTTTTGTTGGATGAATAGCTATGATCATTTTTTCATAAATACACCCTATGGAGTGATGGTCTACGGTGGTCATATATGTAGTTATTTGCCTTTTGTTTTAGTTTTCAGGACAGTATATATTTCAGACTGCGGACTATATGAGGAAATTTAGGCCATTACTCTGTTGCAGAAACAAGTAGACATTACTCTGATTCCGTGGTTCTCTAAGCCAGCGGTTCCCAACGATTGGGCCATGGCCCACTTACAAGCCGCTGCCCCTCTTCTTCCATGTTTCCAGATCCCTTAATCTCCCACAGTGCCTCCCAGATCCCATAGTGCTCCTCAACATTCTATACTGTCCCACAGTGCCCCTGATCCCCCTGAAAGCCCTCAGCTTCCCACAGTGCCTGCTGCAGAGCCTCCAGCCCTCCACAATGCCCCCAACCTCCAACAGTATCCTGCACTGCTCCCAACCTCTTCCAGAAACCTCATACCCTACAGGGCCACCAGATCTGCAGAAGATTTCCCTAACCCCCTCCAAAATCCCCTACTTTCTCCACAGTGATACCAAACCCCATGCAGAGCCTTCAAGCATTTCAATAAATGTTTTGCACGCCTATACTTTTATTGTGTGAATATAAACATTATTTTTTACTGTTTGCCATGGAAGGTTTTGGAAGATTTTATCGGGCCATGATCTCAAAAAGGTTGAGAACCATGGGTCTTGGCCATTTTCTATGTATTTACTGAAATATTTCTGTATACTGCAGACTATATTAGGAATTTGAAAGCTATTACTCAATTGAAGTAACAATTACAAATTATTCTGATTTCAGGGATCTCTAGTCAAGTGGTTCCCAACCACCAAGCTTCCCCAGTGCCTCTCAGGTCACATAGTGCCTTCCAACCTCCCATAGTGGCCTACAGTGGCTTCTGAGAATGCTCAGCCTCCACGGTACCCCCAACCTCTCACAGTGCTGCAGGGCCTCCCACATTGCCCCCCAGCCTACTGCAGATCCTGCATCCCTCAACAGTGCCCCAACCTCCAACAATGTCCCACAGTGCCCCTCAACTTACCACAGTGCTTCCCAGTTCCCTTCAGAAACCTCATCCTTACAGGGCCATCAAGTATGTTGCAGAGATCCCTAACCCCCTCCACAACCCACTCTCCCTACCCCCAAGTAACATCCAGCCCCATCCACAGCCTCCCTGCAATTTAATGCATGTGCTACATTCCCATACTTTTATTGTTTGACTTTATTCGTTACTGTTTAGGCATGGAAGGTTTTGGAAGAATTTACCTGGCTTGGTCTCAAAAACATTTGGGAACCACTGCTCTAAGATATGTTCTATGTAATTAATATAAATATTTCCATATATTTAAGACTCCAGACTATTAGGCATTTGAAGGCTATTACTCTATTGGAGTGACAATTATACATTATTCTAATTCTGCCGTTCTCTAGGCCAGTGGTTTCCAGCCACTAAGCCATGGCCTCTCATCTCTTGGGCCTCCAGCCAGCTCTAGTTCCCTTAAACATTCACAGTACTTCCTACCCCCAGAGTGTCCCCCAACCTCCCATAGTGGCTCAAAAAGCTCCCAGACCCCCTGAGAACCCTCAGTCTGCACAGTTCCTCCTAACCTCCCACCATGCACTTCAGTCTCTCAATAGTACCCACTAGTCCTCTGCATATCCTTAAGCCCTGCACAGTGCCCCCAACCTACAACAGTGTCCCACAGTGCCCTCCAAACTCCCACAGTGCTTTCCAGCCCTCTCCCGAAATGTCATCCCATATATTGCTCACAGTGACACCCAACCCCATCCAGAGCATTTCAATATATGTTTTGCATCCCTATACTTTTGGGCATGTATAAACGTTATTTGTTACTGTTGGGGCATGGAAGGTTTTAGGAAAATTTACCAGGCTCTAGTGACAAAAATGTTGAGAACCATGGGTATTGGCCATTTTCTATGTATTTACTGAAATATTTCTCTTTATTGTAGACTCCAGACTATATTTAGAATTTGAAGGCTGTTACACAATTGTAGTAACAATTGTACATTATTCTGATTGCAGGATTCTGTAGGTTAGGGTTCTCAGGCTGTGGCCCACTGGCAAACTGTGGACTCCCATCTCCTGGTCCCCATCCAGCTGCATTTCTCTAAACCTCCCATGGTGCCACCCAACCTCCTGTAGTGGCCCACAGTGCCCTCAGGTGCTCTGAGAAGCCTCAACAGTGCCACCCAACCTCTCACAGTAATGAGCAGCCTCCCATAGTGCTCTCCCAACCCGCTGCAGATCCTCCAGCCCTCCACAATGCCACCCAACCATCCAAAAAACTAATTCCTACATGGCCACCAGGTCTGCTGCAGAGTCCCCTAACCACCTCCAGAACTCCCATCCCACCCCAGTGACACCCAGCCTCATCCAGAGCCTTCCAGTATTTCAATACATGTTTTACATTCCTATACTTTTATTGTGTGAATATAAACGTTATGCTTTACTGCTGGGGCATAGCAGGTTTTGGGAGAATTTGTTGAGCCCTGGTTCTCTGGTGGAGAACACCTTTTTAAAATGTATCTAACTGGAATATTTGTGGTCATATTGGGAAGAGAAGTATTTCCACGGTATGGTGCCAGATTTTTCACCTTAAAGATCTTGGGGACTCTAACAATCTTGATTGTGGTGTTTTGGTGTCCCTGGGGCCCTTTTTACCCGTCTCATTAATACAGCCCCGTCAGCCATTGTCCTTTCTTGTATCAAATTTTAATTGATTCCAGATAATAAATGTCAATTTGACATTTTCCGGCCTGTCTGCCCGGCATCGCCTGATAAGAGAATTATTCTGTTGATAGCTCCGTCTATAGTGATCTGGCTCCGCTCATCTGTGAAAACTCTAATTCCTTTAATACATTAGAAGTTCACTTACCCAGAAGTAATCGCAGTAACTCCACTCTCCGGGTTTTAACAGCTGCTGTTCCGGCATGGTGTCCGGGTGCGGGAACGTCACACAGTTTATCTGCCAATAAGAAAAACACCCTTCAGTTATGTCTGTCCAGTGTCACCTCACGGCTATATATACACAATTCACGCTGTGACTAATGTACAGGTATAACAAATATGGGGTCCTGTCACACAATTAACGAGGACCTGTCATCAAATGTATTAAATGCAGCATGCCAAGTGATGTGTCAGTATAACTCTTCCAGGTATTTATTATCTGCCATTAAGATCACAGTGCTCCCCCTGACAACCCCTTTGTCTGCTTTTCTCCCCAGAAGAACAGCGCCATCTTTATTCAGCCATCATCCAATGTCACCCATTACTTGCTGGACCATGATGCTGGCTCAGAGATGACTTAGTCGTGTAAAGTCTGGTGTCTGTTCAGTTCTGTGTTTACAAATGTCTGACACAGATAAACCCCTGATGCAGCCTTTCACCTTGTGACTTGCTACAGAGTTAGGTCTATTTCACATGGACGTTTCGATCGGGTCTGCCTGCCCATTTTTCAGGCAGACCCAATCGGAATATCCATTCTCCTCTGATATATATATATATATACACACACACACAAATACATACAGACACACAAACTATATTGCCAAAAGTATTGATCGCCTGCCTTTCCACGCACATGACCTTTAATGGCCCCCCAGTCTTAGTCCGTAGGGTTCAATATTGAGTTGGCCCCGCCCTTTGCAGCTATAACAGCTTCAGCTCTTCTGGGAAGGCCGTCCACAAGGTTTAGGAGGGTGTCTATGGGAAGGTTGGACCATTCTTCCAGAAGCACATTTGTCAGGTCAGGCACTGATGTCGGGGGAGGAGGCCTGGCTCGCAGTCTCCGCTCTAATTCATCCCAAAGGTGTTCTATGGGGTTGAGGTCAGGACTCTGTGCAGGCCAGTCAAGTTCCTCCACCCCAAACTGGCTCCTCCATGTCTATATGGACCTTGCTTTGTGCACTGGTGCGCAGTCATGTTGGAACAGGAAGGGACCATCCCCAAACTCTTCCCACAAAGTTGGGAGCATGAAATTGTCCAAAATGTCTTGGTATGCTGATGCCTTAAGAGTTCCCTTCACTGGAACTAGGGGGCCAAGCCCAACCCCTGAAAAACAACCCCACACCATAATCCCCCCTCCACCAAACTTTACACTTGGCACAATGCAATCAGGCAAGTTACTCCAGAGAATATGACTCCACTGCTCTAGAGTCCAGTGGCTGCGTGCTTTACACCACTGAATCCGCCACTTTGCATTGCACTTGGTGATGTAAGGCTTGGATACAGTTGCTCGGCCATGGAAACCCATTCCATGAAGCTCTCTACACACTGTTGTTGGGCTCATCTGAAGGCCACACCAAGTTTGCAGGTCTTTAGCTATTGACTCTGCAGACAGTTGGTGACTTCTGCGCACTGTGTGCTGACCCCGCCCTGTCATGTGACGTATGCCTACAACTTGGTGGATCAGTTGCTGTTGTTCCCAGTTGCTTCCACTTTGTTATAATCCCACTAACAGTTGAGCGTGGAATATTTAGTAGCCAGGAAATGTCACGGATGGACTTATTGCACAGGTGACAACCTAACACGGTACCACGCTTGGAGTCACTGAGCTCCTGAGAGCGACCCATTCTTTCACCAATGTTTGTAGAAGCAGTCTGCATGTCTAGGGGCTTGATTGTATACACCTGTGTCCATGGAGGTTATTGGAACACCTGAATCCAGTGATTTGGAGGGCTGGCCCTATACTTTTAGCAATATAGTATATATATATATATATATATATATATATATATATATATATATACACACATACATATACAGAGGCGGACTGACCATTTGGAAACTCGGGCACTGCCTGAGGGCCTGGGTCAGTAGGGAGCCCCATGAGGTGCCCCTGGTACCTTTTTCATAGGCTTTTTTGAGTTTGGGCAAGGACACAGGGGCCCCATGATCCCCTATTGCCCGGGGGCCCCATGAGTTGTCAGTCTGCCCCTGTGTGTGTGTATATATATATATATATATATATATATATATATACACATACATACATACATACATACATACACACACACGAGGGACGTTCAAGTCAAACCAAGACTTCAGAGTTTATACACTAAATAAACAAATTTCAAAGAGTGGAAACTGCATTTATACACTTATTCCAGCATTTAACTAATGCCTGCAAAGCTTCGACATAGAAAGATTTGTCAGTACGCCTGAACCATCCTATGACAGCCGGCTTTACTTTATCATCAGTGCTGAAATGCTGACCTCCAAGGAACTCTTTTAAGGGTCCAAATTCACGACAGGTTATGTGTCCATTATCCAGGATCAGGCGTTCCACATGCTGAATGTCCACAGGAATGACTGCTGTAGGCTGGGAACCACCAAAGCTAGGATTGTCACTGACACCCATATAGCTAACTTTGAAACGATAACACCATTCAAATGTCTTACTGTGGCTGAGCGTCTCATCACCACACGTTGTTCCATGCATGCACTAATACTGTCATCTACCATCTTGATTAACGGTCTCTGGACGTGCCCGTGACATGTGTGCTGCCTATCAGTAATAGGACTCAACTGCCACTTACTACTGTGTGTAATACCGACACGCTAGCATCCCATTTTATACCTGTAAAATGTAAAGTCCTGGTTTGGCTTGAATGCCCCTGGTGTGTATATATATATATATATATATATATATATATATATACACACACACACACACACACATACTTTATATATTACTGTGCAATGGGTATTGGCATGTGTGAGTAAATGCTGTAAAAGTAAGAATGCTTTCATAAATATTTATTTTAATGGTTTGTTTTTCTCAATTTGCAGAATCCAAACTGAGCGAACAGAAAAAAAAAACTACATCAAATCAATATTTGGGGTGACTACCATTTGGCTTCACATCAGCTTTAATCCTCACACTTGCACACTCTGTAAACTTGCACAAAGTCAGGGATTTAGTAGGATAATGCCTAGTGCACACAATCAGATAATCGGACAACTTATCCTTGACTTTTTATTTCATATAAAAATGAAGGTTACCAAAGTTATGAAAATTCAATACAAGTTTGGACGTGATGTATTATATTGTAATGTAATCTTTCATTTCTGAGCATGTGTAGTCTTGGTTTATTTTTTTTTTCAGACGAATGCTGTACTAAATAAATGAAAATCGTTTGTGCTGTTATCATACGGGAACATTTTTCATGCTTGTTCCTTTGGATATTTTCCCATGAACTGTCATGATAGGCTGTTGAAAGCTGTGTACCAACAATCAGATTATCGTAGATCCCTCCGAATGCGATTTTTGTCATCCAATTTTCTGATCCTGTGTACGGGGCATTAGAGTCAAGTGTAGGATTAACCAATTATACCAGGCAGGTGTTAATGATCATCAATTTCATAAGTTGGTTGAAACACAAGGAGTAGCTGAAATAGAAAATGCTGCTTAGGAGGCTTATAACTGCTGCTTAGGAGACTTATAACTTCTGCTTAGGAGGCTTATAACAGGGCAAGGAACAGCCAAACTCTGCTATTAAGGTGAGGTTGAGGAAGACGACTCGACTACTACAACTCTCTCCTCACTGGCCTGCCTCGCCGCTGGCTATCCCCGCTTCAGTCCATCCTGAATACGGCTGCCAGACTTATTCAACTTTCCAACCGCTCCGTTTCCGCCACCCCCCTCTGCCAATCCCTCCACTGGCTTCCGATTGCGCAACGGATCAAATTCAAAATCCTAACACTGACGTACAAAGCCGTCCACCATACTGCCCCGAACTACATCACTGACCTGATATCCAAGTACCGCCCAGCACGCACACTCCGCTCCTCACAAGACCTCCTTCTCTCTAGTTCCCTGGTCTCCTCCTCCCATGCCCGCCTCCAGGACTTCTCCAGGGTGTCACCCATCCTCTGGAACTCCCTGCCCCAACCCATCAGATCACCTACTCTCCTCTCCTATAGGTGCACCCTGAAAACCCATCTCTTCAGTGAAGCCTACCCCACCCCCTGCTAACTTGCCGACCTCCTCCACTCTTCCTACCATTCCATCCCCCACAGCTATCTCCTCCTGTGCCACCATCCCCTCCCTCCTAGATTGTAAGCTCGAAAGAGCAGGGCCCTCGATCCCCTCATGTTTTGCATTGTATTGGTATTGTTCTGTCACATGTTCTGTCCCCCTTTGTAATGTACAGCGCTGAGCGAACTATTGGCGCTTTATAAATACTGTATAATAATAATAATAAGACGGGTTCCTGTCACAGGTCATACATCATGGCAAGACTGAGCACAGCAACAAGACACAACTGCATCAGCAAGGTCTCTACCAGACAAAGATTTCAAAGCAGACTGGGGTTTCAAGATGTTCTGTTCAAGCTCTTTTGAAGAAGCACAAAGAAATGGGCAATGCTGAGGAAAGTAGACGTAGTGGTCGGTCAAGGAAACTTAAGGAAGCAGATGAAAGACACATCACGCTTTCTTTCCTTCCATATCAGATGTTGTCCAGCAGTGCCATCAGCATAGAACTGGGGGAAACCAATGGGACCCAGGTACACTTATATACTTTCCAAAGACGTCTGACCAGAAGTGGTCTTCATGGAGGAATTGTGGCCAAAAAGCCATACCTCTGACATGGAAGCAAGGCTAAGTGACTCAACTATGCATGAAAACATAGGAAATGGGGTACAGAAAATGGCAGCAGGTATTCTGGACTGATGAGTCAAAATGTGAAATATTTGGCTGTAGCGGGAGGCAGTTTGTTCACCAAAGTAGCAGGAGGCAGTTTGTTCACTAGAGAGCAGTACAATAATGAGTGTCTGCAGGCAACAATGAAGCATGGTGGAGGTTCCTTGCAAGTTTGGGCCTGCAAAATTAATTTCTGCAAATGGAGATGGAGATTTGGTCATGGTCAATGGTGTCCTCAATGCTGAGAAATACAGGCATATACTTATCCATCATGCCATACCATAAGGGAGGAGTGTGATTGGCCCCAGATTTATTCTGTAG